CCGAATCTGTTTTCTGCCAGGTAAGAAATTAGAGTTTGATCAGTGAAAAGGGATTTATTTTCCCACTGCTATTAGGAAGGCTGCTGCAATGATACCCACCCTTTGAGAAAGTCTTTTCAAAGGTGAGTGTCCTCTGTACATGTCCCACTGCCAGCTCAGCTGCTCTCTGAGCTCTTTTCTTTTGAGTTGGGACATTACAAACTGCAAAGCAAATAGATCAATTCTGCTGATTTTTTGTTCCTCCTAAACAGATCCTTCTTGGGTGCTGTAAAACGGGGTTGGAGACATAGTGGGAATCAGAGAGACAGTGGGAGATATCATAGGGTTTACCTCTAAAACAATAAATATTTCACCAGAGGGCCAAAACCTGAAATTAGGAGCATTTCACCTCAGAAGTTCAGCCCACAAAGCCCAGAGATTTTTTTAGCATAAACCAAGGAGATGATTCAACATTCTTTACAGGTATATATCCCCAAAAATTAACCATCAGAGGTGGTTCTTTGCCGTTTATTTCATCGTTTAGGAAGAGTTTTTTTAAACAAGAGACCGTTCCACTACACAATGGTGTCTGTGTCAATCCAGCAGTGGAACAGGGGCTGCTGATGAGCCCTCAGGCACTCAGCAAGGATTTGCCAAGGAGCCTAAGGGCTGATACACACTTGAAACTCAATGGGATTTAGGTGCCTAAATGCAGCAGGCTGCTTGGAAAATCCCAGCCTTTGAAGTCAAAGTAGGCACTGACAAAAAAATTCCTAAAACYCCTTAAAATAATAAATGTCAGACGAATGCCACCGTGAAGGCARTGGGTGCTCTGAGCTGTGCACCCAAAATAAGGCAGTGGGAGGTGGATCCAACCAAGAGGATCCAGCAGCTTGAAGCGATCCATCCCTGGTGCCTCCTGCTCCATCAGAAACTGCAGCAGGGTTTCTGTGAATAATTTCCCTTTCTGATGGATGTCTCCTTGTGTGGGAATGATCCAGGACATTTGGCTGGGGACAATATATAAGGAAAACACCAAAAATGCTTTTTTTTTTATTTTTTTTTTTCCTTGAGAAGAATCTTAGGGCATTAAAAGTTGGAGAACTCATCTTCATTATTTCTCTTTAAAGTTAGTTATGAATTGAGAATGGCTCTGCTCATATTTCTCTTTTATTTGCTATCTCCCCAGGCTAAAGTGTTGTCTATTTATCTTACAGATTAGGTTACTTTTTATGGGGTCCCTGCTATTATATTTCACCTCTAACTTTGTTAGTTTGTGTTTGCTATTAAATTATGTTGAATAAAATGGGCGGCTGAAGGACATTTTTCAGCTCCATCCCAAAATGAGGTTCTTAATCCTGTTTCTGGACTTTCCCCTGAGCCCAGCCCAMGGGGACAGAATCAGGTAGGAAAGGCAGCACAGGAGTGTTTGTGTCAGCCACAGGGTGAAGCTGCAGGAGAATCGTGCCTGTAGAGCTGGTTGGTTCATGTACAGCGATTTTGGAGGCATCTCTTTAGGAGAGGGTTCTAATAATATTGACATCATCACAAGATAAGATCCAGGACTAGTTAAATCACAGCCTCGCAACTCGGCGCTCCTTTGAGGATTAGGAGAAGTCGCTGAGCTGTCACTCTAAAGCTGATCATGGACTCGTTTAACTATGTCATCCCATAAGACAGCCCTTTCAATTATGTCAACCTGTCTGCTCTCCCCAGACTCTAATTTTAGAGCAGCAGTAGCTAATATTCTTGGAAAACTGATCCGCCTCCACAGATCTCTCCTCTCTGCCTGCTGCTGTTAACGGAGTATCCTGTGGGGAGATCGGACTGCTTTCCTTCCCCTCCTGTAATAAACCTAATAAAAATAGGTACCATTAGGTTCCTTTGTGTGTGGTCTCTTTAAGACACTTATCTGAGCTGTGTAATGGAGATGTCATCGTYTCCTCCACAGAGGGATCTGGCAGCACCACAGGGTCATCGCAATAAAAATAAAATTCAGTTTTAAGAGCMCGGTACGAAATTATGAGCTGAAAAGCAGGACATTGGGGTTGGAGTTCAGAGACCTGGAAAAGGCAAATGAGAGCTGCAGTCACTGGAATGTTAATGCCACAGCAGCAGCTCTGCAGCTGGAGCAACGAGCAGGATGCTGGTGCAGGGGAACCACAGGCAACGAGGTGGCTTTGGGGACACCGGGGACTTGTCTGTATCTCCTGGAAGGGTTTTTGGGAGGAGCTGGGGGCACACAAAACAGGGAGGAGGTGGGTGGACCTGGCCATAATGTACTGTCACAACCCAGGGTGGTGCAATGGTTCCATGACCCGTCCTGGGACAGGATGGACCCACATTCCTGGTTCCCCACCCGTGTCGTGTCTGCAGTGATGTGGGACAGGTGCTGCCCTATGAATGTCCTCTTCAGAGGTGTTTTATCCCCTTTTGGATCCTAAGGCAGACCATGCTGGCGTGGTGGGGTGGATAGAGAGGTTTGATACTCCAAAAAGAGTCAATCCCATGGACTGAAAGCTCAAAGAGAAGAGCATGGGACATGGGGGAAAGCGATAGGCCTTGTCCCATAAAAATGAGAACAGGGGGATGGATGGGGATCACCTCCATCCCTTATATCTGCACAGACTCTCTGCCTCCTCTTTCCCCACCCAGTGTCACCATTCTGGTGTCACTGGGCCCTTTCCCTTTGCAGATCAGGTTACATAAAACTCACACTCCACAGGCTGCCGGGGAACGCTGCTTCCCCCAGACTCCAGCAAGTTAGTTACACATAGCTTTCCCTCCACAAATCCATGTTGGCTGCCCCTAATCAAATTCTGCTTCTCAAGCAATTTCCCTTGCTAATTCCTCCCGAATCAGCCCTAACCCACCTATCCCCCTCGTCGCTAAGCTAGCCAGCCTCTAATCACRCACTGCACTGTGTGATCCTTTCCCAAGTAATTCAGGGTTCGGCACTTTCCTCTGGTTCTCAGCAGCCTAACCTGTCAGGAGCAACCTTCTAAAAATATCGCTAAAGACCTCAGCTAATTTCTAATCCTCGTTTCTATTAAGACGGCTGCCTGTTCTGTGTGGGTTTCCAGACTCGGGATTTACAGTCTTCCTGAAGAGCACCTAATCTGCACAGAGCCATTCCTGTTGTTATCCATGAGCAAACTCCTCCCTTCTCCACCATAAAACATGATCCCTTTGGCAGCGGYTCTCCAGTCTGCAGGGCGTTCTCAGACAGCCAGGGAAGACACCAAACTCTTCCTCTTTGCTTAGCTCACCCCACTGTTTTTTGGCAAGCCTTCCCAGGGAGATCACAGGGGTTCCAGTCCTCTCAAGCACTGGGTGTTTTGTAGGAAAAAAAATCAGCCTTCAAGCTGAGCAGGACATGTGATTTTCTTTGCATTTCCCAAGTTTTTTGGTGTAAATTGTATAAGGAAGTAATACATAATGGAGCCAAGCTCTTGAAGTACCTTGGATAACTGAACTTTCTCTTACTGTTTGTATTTGGATATTTTTAGCTGTTTCCTTCTCCTTKTTAAAAATTCACCTGTCCCAAACTGCCAAAACCAATGCTCTGTCAGCACAGTCCCTCTGTGGAGTAAGGATTTACACGAGATTTGCTAATTTTACGGGTTGAGGAGAGAAAATGAATTGAAGAGTGGGCAGAGTGGGCAGTGTCTGGCTGGTGACAGGGTGTGATTTGAATGATTTGATCCAGCAGGACTGTGCTGCTGGGATGTGCTCCAAGTGGGGTGGCTGTAAGCTGGCACCCAGAGCAGGAGTCACGAGTGCCACGCTGGAGGGTGACGTGGATGGTGGAGGAGTGGCACATGCCACTCCCAGAGCTCACAGCACCGAGTGGCCACTGCTGGCAGCCAGCACACGCAGTGCTAAAGCTCCCTTTGACCTCATGGCTCCACTCCACATCTGAGTCATGCACCACAGCAGACAGTCAGGTGATTTCTGGTGAGAACAGGG